ATCCGTAAGGCTCGAAATTCTGACAGTGCCGTCCCAGGAACTTGTTATCAGGCATCCGTGCGTCAGATGCATACTCGTTATACTTTTCGTATGCTTGGTGGAATAAGATTTCACCAGCTTGAAATCGTCCTTTGAATTTAGCACGTGCAACTTCGAGTAGGAGTATGGTATTTTGTCCCCGACGAAAACCAAATCCCGTCGCATATTTATACACGTGAGTTTACCTGGAAACTTAAGTAAGGTACACCTTCGACATCGTGTCTCGTTTTTCGATGTTAAAAATTAACGTTACTGTGATAGACTCCATGGTCCGTCCGGCTCTCTGATCCCAAACGGACATCGTGTCGTCGTTCACGCTGGCGGACAGGATGTATTCCGTGTTCATGGCCAGGCTATTTACGAATTTAGTGTGAGGTCGATAATGTCTGATCGGGTTATTTCTCGATCTTGAGTCGCACACGTATATAGTCCCGCAGGATGAGCCGGTCGCAAAGAGATTACTCTCCGGACACGATGATATATGGCATAACCCGCATAACCACGAATGTAAATTGTCGCTCTTCCGTCTGTGAAAATAAACCTGCACTTTTTGAATTTTATATTTTCATCTATTGTGCTACATATTGTTCTAAATTTGTGTCATTTTGTGGCAAAAGCCTCATCTCGATAGCTTAGCGCATTATTTAGAAAATAACAAAGAACGAAATATTTGTTAGCCCCGCGTACTTGTTAAATTTTGAGTATTTTTTAACTCCGCTGTTTTAGACTACAATCGGACTAATTTTTGCCCGAATATGATACTTTACACTGTATTAAAATTTTTTTTATAGCACCGCACTAGTTTTTTATTAGTTGGATGCACAATCGAAACAAAGACGGAATAATCAACGGTGTTGAAAAAATTCAGCAAAAAGGAGTGGAGGAAAAAAAAGCTCAATCAAGAAATAGTACGGGGCTAATAAAATTTTGTTTCTTAAAACTTTTTTGAATACGGTTTAAAATATTGTTTTCGTATTTGCGGCAAAAATTAGCACAATTTTGTAGTTCAAGACTTGAATACATGTGAATACGGTACGGTTAAAAGAAAACTCATAATTCAACAAGTACTGAGTTACCTTCACACAGATCACGCTCCTGGAATAAAAATGCGAGTGAATTAGTAATATGCAGTGAATTAGATTTAACGAATAAACTTTAGAATCGCGTTTTCGAATTATCTGTTTCAACAAGCGAGAGACACGGAATGCACTATATGCATGCGAATAATTTGGTGGGAAATGATTATTTCTCCCACAAACCGGAAACATCTTCCTTGCTCAGTCTTCTTATGGCGAAGCGGCCGAAAGGAACAGTTCTGCTATTACGTACAAATTGTAAATTCTCTGATGGATAAAACCGGTGTTAGTGAGCTCCCACGACTTGACCGTATTATCGTAACTGCAACTGTAGATCATGTTGTCTATTGCCGTCAGATCCCTGATATAATTCGAATGATGTCCCATAGCGATGCCGGCGGAATTCTCGATTTCGTGAGATAATTTCTCGCGTGAGGGAAGTTGCTTGTAAAGTAAGTCTTGATAATTTGTATAAACTAAATGAGAGATTCCATTCTGAAAACGGGAATCATTATCATTATACCGTTTTCCACAAGGAGAGAGGTCCACCTGACATAATATGCTACTTACTACGTGCATCAGTAACACAGCATCTACAGATCTAGGTAATTTCTCGATGAACAGACAATTTCTCTTCTTTGCAGACTCTTGCTGTTTCCATAGTGCTGTTTCTTGTTTGATTGCAACGTATGATAACATCCAGTTGTCGGGTCTCGCTGTAATTGACAAGTGACTTCTTACATAAAAAAATATGAAAACTTATTCATACCATAATACTGATTGTGAATACAAAAAAAATTCATATACATATAACTTGAATTAAGTACAAATAAACTACAAGCACATTCTGGATCGAATGTCTACACAGAGAGAAAAAATTTTTTAATAAAGTCTAAATACATTTACTTAAAATTATTTTTTTTATTGAAGTAAATATTCATGCTATTTAAATAAAAATATTTAAATATAAATAAAAATGTATAATTCTAAATAAATATGTGTATTATATTACGTAAATAAGCTGTTAAGAGAACCACATAATAAATATTTTTTTTAATAACAATATTTTTTTCTCAGGGTATTCAAGTTCTTACTTTATGCACATCCGATTGTTGCAATAAACAGAGCTGAACAAGCTTTCTCGATGCGACTTTTTATAAATAAAAAAAGATAGAGATAAAGAAATATATAACGTTCTGTAAAACACTTTTTTTAAGACAAAAAAAAGTAAAATGCTGTGAAATCTAACGCAATGTAAGCAACTAATGTGCAAATGCTTGCGGAAGCTCGAACAGCGCTGGTGTAAAATGGCATACAGAGTGTTTTATTTATTCACAAATATAATTAGTCGTGCAAGGCGTAAGGTGCTATTAATTTGAACTAACCGAGACATAAGAGCCAGCTAGCATCCGGCCATATGTGGTTAATTCGCGCTTTCCACAGTGAGTTTGCATCTTTTAAAATCAGGTAGAACCGTGTGCACACTAAGCTCAAACCGTGTAGCGTCGACACATCTAGAAAGGAACAAATATGCAGGAATATCTGAAATACAGCAGAA